TCACACAAGTGAGTGTGATGGGTGGCAGCTTATGGAACTCATTGCCGTACTTTCGTGCACACGGGGAGTTTGACAAGGAGCTCCTCGCCCTGTTCAATCGCAACGAGGATGACATCCAAGACAACTTCATGCAACGGCGTGGAACGCGCGGCGACGAGGATGACGTTGACGACGATCGTGACTACGCGTTGGGGGAGGAGGCGTCCGTCATGGCACGGAGACGGGCAGAGATGTTGCTTCGTCGCGACGTTGTGAAGTTGTGGGACAACTCACACCTCACCATCTGGAGGCCGGGGCTCCTGCAGCGAGACAACCTACAGCTTGTGGAAAAAATACTCGGGGTTTTCACCTCTCGGGTTGATGTAAAGCACTTGGCGGAGGCTATTTTGGAGGACATCATTGCCTCGTTGGAGGATGAGCGTGGGTTCAACGAGGTGGGCACCGCCAAAGTCATCGGCGGGAATAATGTGGTGGTGCGGGCCAAAATGAAGGAAGCGGAGATGGAGTGGAGTTGGCACGGCAAACGCATCGTGACCACCTCTGCAGACTCCTGAATGAGAAAAACGGGAGGTAATGGTTTTCTTTGCGCGAGTTGTGGCATTTCCTCCGCTGCCGTTGCGCGTGCGAGTGCTCGTGCAGATTTACCCTCGTCTTTTTTTTCTTCCTGTAAGAAGAAATGTCATTTATACGCCGTTTGTGTTTCTTTTTTTTTTCTTTTTTTCTCTCTCTGTGTGGGCTGCTGCTGCTGCTGCGAATTCAGAGAATATGGATGAATGAGAGGGATGTAGCGCGTGGTTCTTTTTCTTTATTTGTGTTTCTTCGTGCGGTGAATGGAGGAAGGGCATGATGCATGCCTGTGTGGCGAGGGAAATGTGTAATATGATGTGTGCATGTTGGCCTCTGGTGTACTGGGAATTTTATTTTGTGGCCAGCTACGTTATTTGCACCCCTCCACAAACACGCACCGCACTTTTCTTATCTTTTATTTTTATCTTTTTTTTTTTGTCTTTATGAATGTTTCCTTCAGGACACACGCAATTCTTTTTTCTCCACTTCACTTTTTCCCACATGGCGAATGCCGGTGATGCGCAGGAGGTGAGTCCGGTGCGGCTGGTGGAGGGCGATGTGTTGGAGCGGGAACATGTGCTGAAGGTGTATGACGCCATTGCGTCTCACTTCTCGTCAACACGGTACAAGGCGTGGCCCAAAGTACAGGCTTTCATTGAGTCCCTTCCAAAGTACTCTTTGGTGGCTGACGTCGGCTGTGGGAACGGGAAGTACTTCACCTGTGCGCAGTGCTACCGGAAGGCAACCGTGACACACATCGATGACGTGGGGGTGACGGTTGAGGCCGACGATTTGGAGGACGCATGCCGTTACGTTGTGGGCATTGACTTGAGTGAGGGACTCCTACGACTGGCACAAGAACAACAAAAGAAATTGGCTTCAGCGAGTCAAGTTATTAGTCGCACAGACCTTCTGCGCGCTGATGGCCGTCGCACCGCACTCCGCGGTGGAGTCTTCGATGCCGTCATTAGCATCGCAGTCATTCATCACCTCGCCACACAAGCGGGACGGGTGGAGGCCATCCGGGAATTACTTCGCCTTGTGCGGCCCGACGGTCTTGTGCTGATCAGCGTGTGGGCGAAAGAGCAGCCGAGAAAGCGGTCCAGAAATGACGAGGCGGATGTTCTCATCCCATGGGAGATGCACGAGAAATACGACAAGGAGAAGCGTGTGTACCAGCGTTACTACCACCTTTTTGTGCAGGGAGAACTGGAGAGTCTTGCTGTGGAGGCGGGCGCATCGGTGCGGGAGTCGTACTACGACAAGGAGAATTGGTGTGTCATTCTCACCCCGACTTGAGGCAATCGCAAGAGATCTATGATGTGGTTTGGTGGCGCGTCACAGATGTGCGTGGCGAATAAACTCCTCAGCGGGGGTATGAGGTGCAGCTTTACTTTCTCTCTCATCTTTTTTTTTGTGTGTGCTACGCCTAGTCTCTAATTAGATGCGGAAGAACAACCGCAGGACGGAGGCGCAAGCGGCACTGATTGTGTCGCCTGAATGGCTAGATCGTACCGCGGACGCCATTGCCTCACGCAACGGTGTGCTGCTGACGGACTGCGTCACCATCGCGGAGGAGGGCGAGGCGACAGAGCTGCCGAGTGCGGCGGTGCTCAAGAACATTGAGGCGGCGGTGGAGGACCTGCGCTGCACCCTCATGGAGCGGGTGGAGTCGTCTCATTCGAGGCACCGCGGAACACCCGGCTGCTGCGCGGATGACGTGAAGGAACGGCAGCTGTACGTCGATGTGTTGGTGCGTGTAGCCGTCACCGGGGCACTCGCGCGCTACCAACGCATGGAGCCACAGAGCGGTCATAGCAACGGCGCCGGCGAGGGCAACAGCGGCGGCGAAAAGCCACCGCAACGGTACTTTGACACACTTGCACGGGGCATGCTGCACGTATTTGAGGCGTTTCAGGAGGTGCACTCCATGCAGCGCAGTCACTATACGCCACGGCGACGCGGCGGCAGCACCGTTGGCACCGTTGGCTGGGACACGCTGCTGCTACTTCACTTTGTGCACCGCATCCCGCGGGTTGCACGTGATGCTAGCGAGCACGTTATTGATGAGGCCACTGGGCAAATTGTGAGGAGTTGGCGCAAACTGTTGCTTTCGTTACAGACAGCGGACCCACAAGAGTCGCCAGAGCACTCCCGTCGCCGGGGCGCCCTTGCAGTCTGCAACGGCCTGTTGAGTATTCTTTTTCATCGCTACAACACACACCAGTGTCGCATCCTTGTCAACTCGGTCGCACAGTCGGAAAAAATAGCAGAGTCGACAGGCGACTGGGGCAAATCCATCTTGCGGCCTGCGCAGCACATGATTGCCGAGGTGGTAAACTTCTGCTACTACAAGGGACGTATAATGTTGTACGACCACCGCTTCGAGGATGCATACGATGCGCTGCGGAAGGCTTATTATCTCCTCCCGCCACCAGGTGAGGGCACGGAAGTGCAGCAGCGTAACAAACAGCGGGTTCGTTTTTACCTCACGGTGGCTGGTGTAGTTCACGGCAAAGTGGTGCCGGAAGAAATCCTGAGGACAGACGACCTCATCGCCTTCGTCTTTATGCCAATTTTTTTGGCTGTGCAACGGGGCGACCCACACGCCTTTGCAAACGCCGTCGACGCATTTGGCACGCTTCTTCGAAAGCGCGGGGTGTTTTTCCTTTTGCAGCGAGCAAAACTCTACTGCTTTCTCGTGCTGCTCGCCCGCACGCGGACCGCACTCGGGATGTGCAGCGGCGTTGACAACAGCCGCGTCCCTCTCCCTGTCCTCACGGCAGCGTACGCCCACGTCGTGGATGAGGGGAGGAAAGCAGCCACGGCGCAGACGGGTGCAGCGGGATCAAACCAGAAGCGTCCCAAAAGACACCGAGAGGAGAACGATGAGAACAAAACATCCGTGATGACGGACGACGAAATGACATGGTGGACGGCAAAACTAATCGCCAGCGGCCTTGTGCGTGGTTACATCTCGTACGAGCACAAAACCATCGTTCTCTCGCGGCAAACCCCCTTCCCCACACTGGGGATAGCACCACCGTAGATAGACGTCCTCCCGTACGCAATGAGAGGACGGGGAAAGGAAAGTGCGTGAATGGGCCACGAGCGAAGGAGAATGCAAGAAGAGGGAAAATAAACTACATATATATATTTAAAGGAAAAAAAGCGAGCAACAACGACAATAAATGAGATTGGGGGGAAAAGGGGGTTAGGGACTAAAATTGACCCTCCAGTGACACCGCCAGTTTCTTTACTCAACCTCCTCATTTCCTTGCATCTCTCTCTCTTACTGTTGTGTTTGTCTTCTTTCTCTCTCTCAAGGGCAATTTCAAGGCTAAACGGTCTCACCCCTTTATTCTCACGGTTCTACTTGTTTTTGGTTGGTGCGGAACGCGTAAAAACAGCACAAAACGAAAAGGGAAATTTACATGGATACGCAAAAAGGGCCAACGCAACACGCATTCTCCCGCCCAACAGTATTATTATTAGACACCACCTGCACTTCGCTCGTCTCGCTCCCTTTCTCGTGAGCGTGTGGACGATGAACGGTGAAGGGAGAGCAGCGCGCAGTGTGCTGGGCCCCGTTGGCCGGAATGTGCAATGATGTCTACGAGAACAAGCATATGTCCGAGGGATCCCCGCATACGGGTCCACATGAGAGCATTACTCGAGTCCTTGAAAGCTGAGTCGCACCCCTTCTATTCTCCCCACTGCAAAGTTGTTTGTCCTCATGCATGACTGAATGACCCACATGATGCACAATATATACATCGCCCGGGGGAGCTTTGGCTCCTCTTGCCGAGATGCCGTGAGCGAGCTTTGTTAAGCGTCATCCGCTGACATCCTGCCCTGATTCCCAACAGTATTATTATTAGACACCACCTGCACTTCGCTCGTCTCGCTCCCTTTCTCGTGAGCGTCTGGACGATGGATGGTGAAGGGAGAGCAGCGCGCAGTGTGCTGGGCCCCGTTGGCCGGAATGTGCAATGATGTCTACGAGAACAAGCATATGTCCGAGGGATCCCCGCATACGGGTCCACATGAGAGCATTACTCGAGTCCTTGAAAGCTGAGTCGCACCCCTTCTATTCTCCCCACTGCAAAGTTGTTTGTCCTCATGCATGACTGAATGACCCACATGATGCACAATATATACATCGCCCGGGGGAGCTTTGGCTCCTCTTGCCGAGATGCCGTGAGCGAGCTTTGTTAAGCGTCATCCGCTGACATCCTGCCCTGATTCCCAACAGTATTATTATTAGACACCACCTGCACTTCGCTCGTCTCGCTCCCTTTCTCGTGAGCGTGTGGACGATGAACGGTGAAGGGAGAGCAGCGCGCAGTGTGCTGGGCCCCGTTGGCCGGAATGTGCAATGATGTCTACGAGAACAAGCATATGTCCGAGGGATCCCCGCATACGGGTCCACATGAGAGCATTACTCGAGTCCTTGAAAGCTGAGTCGCACCCCTTCTATTCTCCCCACTGCAAAGTTGTTTGTCCTCATGCATGACTGAATGACCCACATGATTTTTCTTTTTTTCTATTGGCAAGATAAAACTTATGGCTACACCTTATGTAGCGCTGGTAGGCGAGGAATGGAATTAGGTAGCGGTAACAGGCCCCGTTTCTTTTGGGCAGCGTTGATAAGTGGCTCCGTTTTTTGCCCTTCCTGTCCTTTTGCTGTTTTCCTATTGAATGGTACTTGGCACTGGCACAATGTTGAGGTGGCCGGCTGTGCACATGATGAGTCCTAAATCGACCAATAATCTGATACATGGGCATGTCTCATGTATGTTGACAATTTTTAGCAGTAATTCAAACTGAGACTAACTTCTTCTTTATTAACCACATTTTTTTTTTTGTTTCCTAGATTTTCTTTTTGCCTTATGTTGGTTAACTTTTTTTTTTTGTTATTCTTAGTATTTTGTTGATCTTCTCTTGTGGGTTGGCTATTTTCTATTATTATTGGTTTAACTTTAAAAAAAACTTTCTGTCTTTTTCTCTCTCTATGTTTGTAATGACAGAAGGTGTGTAAAATGACCCGAGATGGGATGCTATTACCCTTGTTGTTTGGCAAGTGGGAGGAATTTTTTGAACTTTCTTCTTCGGTGTATGATGTGGCCTCTGGCGCTCGTTCTAGAGAGGCGTGTCTTTATTATGACGAGGAGGCCCGGCCTATGAGTGGACATGCCGTACTGCTTAGCTCACATGTAATTCTTACCGAATCTTTGGGGGGGAAAGTGTTGTTCTGGGTGGAGTTTGCGTCTGTGAGAGGGATGCGTTGCACGGAGCGGCTGCTTCTGCCCGGGAAATCTTTTGGCTGCCCGACAAGTGAGAATGAGCCTCCAAACTTTGAGGATGAGAGCCCCGGGACCGCAACGGTGGCACAGAAGATTGTTTCGTTGGATATTTTTGTTGAGGGTGCCGCTGTCTCGCTGAGAATGAAGGGGTCGGAGGGGGAGCAGTTTGCTCGCGCCGCACTGATTCTTTGGCGGATGAATCACGGCGAGATGGAGGCGGTGACGGCACCCTTGTATTATCCTGGCGATGCCGTTTATGCATTGGCAGGGGCGCCTGTTCGTTTGTCTGCAACAGTTGTGCAATGCGTGACTGTTGAAAAGAGCTGCCCGTTTGCAAGCGGAGAGGCGGTGGATATCGTCATGCTGAATGAGAGGGAAATATGCATCGCACGGCGACCACGGACGGCGGTCACTCTTTGGCGCGACTTAAACCTAAGTGGTTCGGAGGAAATGGAGCTGCTGCCAGTTGACAGTTTGTCTGCGTTGGTGGCCCCATGGGGCAACACTGTGAGGCTTGTGGGGCGCCGGGGCGATGTGTGGCTGCTCGAGACCTCTGACCCCGCCACCGACGTCACCGTGCGTTACGCATTGCAGCGGCTCACCGAGTTGTTTCTGTTGGGAATGTTGCGTTCGCAACGGTTCTGCGCCGTCACCGCTGAGCCTTGCCGCGGACTCCGGTACTTTGATCTCACCGCGTTGTACCACCAGTATTGTGCAATGGATGCGGAGGGGGCCGGCTATATTCTCTGCTCCTCTCTGGAGGCGGCCATGGGACCACTTCTCGCGTGCGACTCGCGACTGGTTCAGGCGATGCGCTGCGATGACGTTGGTGATGCGGGGGCGGACGCCAGCGGCAAGGTGAGTCTGCCCATGTACCTGAATCACATGCGGGTTATGCTTCAAGGGAGCGTCTCGGAGCGGGCCGAAATTGCCTTCCGGTCCTTTGGGGGTGGCATGTGCCGTGATGCAACGATGGACCCGACAGAAAGGAATGGAGAAGGGGAAGGGAAGACACAAGAACGAGGCCTCGTTCGTTTGACGGACTTTAAACTCATCGCACGTGACATTCTTTTTGGCCTGTCCTACAAGTCTTCAATCGACGATGAATCCGTCAAAGACACCGTCGACAACATCGTGGAGGCGGTCTATGGCAACTGCAACAAGATAGTCGAAACGATGTCATTCCCAGATTTCCTGCAGGCGTACACTCTTCTTATGGAATTGCCAGGACAGGATAAAATGAAGGGGTGCAATATGCCACACGTGTGCGGCACGCCGCATCCGCTTCTAGGTTTTGGCTCAGCACATTGGGTGCTACTCACGTACGTCATGACGGGAGTGGAATTATCGGTTCGTGCCGCAGCGGAGGCATCGGAATGCGGTGAGAAGAACACATTTGAACTTACAAAAGGGACACCAACCATCGCTGGTGTCAGTTTCGTCTCAAACTCCAGCCCCACTGGTGGAGCACCGAGCTTTTTCCGCAAGCACATCTCCTCTTTCCAGAGTGACCGCGTGGCGTTCACAGACTACAGACCACTTCTTTTCGCTTCCGTTCGAATGCGTCTTGGAATTCATGTAGACACGTTCTTGGATGCTTTAGGCATCAGTGCGCTGCGTGCCCGCCTGCTATTGGGGCACTTTTGCGCCCCTAGATTCCTTAGAAGCAGCGGCCGCAGTGGGGCTTTGCTGCTCAGAAGTCATGATGATCGCTTTATCCTGAAGCGTGTCACAATCACCGAGTCTCGAACTCTGCGCAGCCTGCTCCCCGTGTACGTTGACCACCTTGACCGTTACCCCCACTCCCTCCTGCCGCGGTACGCTGGTCTTTACGCGTTGTGGAGGGGAAGTGAAAAGAACTCCTTTGTCGTCACCGAAAATGTCTTCGCATTTGCCCAATTCTCCATCACAGAGGTGTACGACCTCAAAGGCTCCACCACGCACCGCACCACCACCGCAGAGGATCGCAGGCATGGCGCTGCAGGAAAAGACAACGACTTTTTGGCAAGCAAAAAACGTCTTCGTGTCTCCTCGGAGGCACGGAAGGCGCTGCTGGCACAGTTGGAGGTGGATACACAACTGCTGGAGCGGGCAAACAGACTCGACTACAGCCTTCTTGTGGGTATACACAGTGGCAAAGGAGACTGGGCGTCGTCAAAGGAAGCAGTGGAGCTTTCATTACGCCAACGGCGACGGATGGCAGATCTGGTTGCTACTATTGACGCGCAGCCAGAACGGGTGTCGACGGATGAATTCAAAGAGAATAAAAAGAGTGACAATGTGTTCCACGCGTACTATGGCGGTGTGTCGTCCTTTGACGGGTCCGAGGTGTATTACTTGGGCATTGTGGACTGCCTCACAACCTATGGCCTAAAGAAGGTCGGCGAGCACTACGGCAAGTCGGTGCTCCTGCAGGATATGAAAGAAATCAGTTGTGTTCCGCCGCCGGACTACCGTTCACGATTTATGAACTTTATGCGTTCGATTATTGATGATTGACGCACAGACTGGCGTAAAAATAGCACGTACTTTTTTTATCGATATATATATTTAATTTTTCTTTCTCTATAGTCATTTTATAAGCTTTTTTACATTTGTTGTTTTGCAGCTGTTTTTTTTTTATTTATTTCCTCCTTCACGCTTTCTCTTTCTGTACTTATTTGTCTTTGCGTGTGAATGAGTTTGTGTTTTGGTGCTTATGGCGTCAATTTGAAGTGAGTTTGGCTTTGTTTTTTCTTTGTTTTTTATTTTGCGTTTGTTTGCACTTTATCTTTGCGACGTGTAGGGTGGAAATAAGCAATGAAAGAGACACGAGGACATTGTGGGATGCGTGCCGTTGCGGGAGAGGATGGGGTGCGGGGGGATGCCAGTTCTTCTCTCTCTCCGTGCCTTTGCGACGCTTTTTGCAGGCTGGACGTTGCGGAGGCGGCGAGGCTGCTCCAATGCACCGCGGCTACTCTGAGACGAGGAGGGGCGCTGCACTGGAGAGAATGTACATTGAAAAATGTCTCCAATTCATTGTTATGTGCGTATATTGTTGCTCCTCGACCCACCATTGGGGCCTTTGCTTCACAGGAGGGGAGCGAGGAGACTGCGTGCCGAAAGTTGTTGAAAATTACTACATGCGCAGGCTGTGCCATGGCGGAGATGTGTTTATTACCGGCTGCCAGCAGCTCTGCTGCAGCAGATTTGGTTAGAGAAATGATGTCAGGTCTGCCGTGGCCGCCATTGACGGCGAAAGCTTCACGGCTCTTTTGGAGCTGCTCTTCATGGCGGTGTTGCCTTCTTCATCGTCGCCTTATGGTGCCGGCTCGAGAAGAGGAGGAAGAAGGGGTGATCGGGCCAGCTGCTTGTCGCATGGCGGCATTTAGTGGTGTCGAAATGTCGGTTCTTCTCTCCGCCCTCAATATTAACGGATGTGAGAAAACGCGATTGGTGTTGTCAAAGCGGTCCGGTGAGTTTGATGCGCGGTTCGGCGTTGGTGGGGATGAAGTTAGGGAAAAGGTGTATCCAATTTTGCTTGGGCAGTTGATTGAAGTCCACAGGGCGAATACCGTACGTTCTTTCATTCGCGTGGAAAAAGGGCGGAAGGACGATCACGGCGAACATCGTGATGAAGATGTTTACAAAGGCAGCTTACTTGTGTCTCCATTGGCTATGATGTCGAGAGGCACTGCGGCGAGGCGCACACACGTCGTCCATTCTCTGCTTCTTTTACACGCTGTGTTTTCTATTCGATCGTTGTCTTTCTCGGTCTCTGTGAAGAGATGCGCCGGAGAGGAGTTAGCCGCGGCTACAGTGTCGGCGCTGCTCCGCCAAGACGCAGGTGCAGCGGATATTCTTCTTTCAGTGTTAGCGCGTACCTGCGAGACTACGGGGTCTGTTCACTTTGTAGTCTTCTGGCGTGCCGCGTTCTTATCGGCGGCAAATGAACCCTCAGAGACGGCGGCGTGGCTCCTTGCAGGCCTTGCACGCAGCATTGAAAAACACGTTTTGGTGAAGGGTGCTGCTGCTGGGTCGCATTTCTTCCTGGCCGCTGTTGACGCCGTCTTTGAGAGCATCGTTCCCGCGATGGCAGCAATACTTTCCTCCTTTTTGGCTTCTGTCGTGGGTGACGCCGAACACCGCTTGAGAGATTTGTGTGCGCGTGGATTCGTCGAGGTGTGGAGCGCTTTTGTGCGCGCTCCCCCCCAATGCGTCGGGAGGATGCTCGAGAGTTTCCTCCGCGATACAATGCTGAAAAGTAACGACTCGGAGCATAATACTGCCGCGGCGCGTGCTACAATGACTTTGCGGAAATCTCTTGAGGTGTATTATGTCTCCGTGATGGAGCGGCGGTTTGTTATGGGAGGGGAATGCGTGACTGCTTGGCCCTCGTCGTCTGCATGGTGGCCGGAGGTGGCGGGGATCGATTATCATGAGCACTGCGTCCGGGTGCTGCAACATATTTTTGCTTTAAGCGATTACGTCTCCCATGCTGATTTCATCTGCCTTCTCCAGCGTGATGGGATGAGGTGCGGCAAACACCCAGCAGCCTTTTTTTTGGAGGGAACCGAAGGACTATGCGCGCGTCTTTTTTCGATGCAGCCTGACGAGTTTGCGAGGGAGCAAATAATAGAGCTTCAGCGAGTGGCGTCACAGATCATTGCGGTCTCCGCAAAAACAATTTGCACGAGTCCTGGACGGGACGTTTTTGCCCCACCGTTTGGAGGATCCTCCGGTCAATACGCGACGACGTACACGCGCCTGCTTTACTTCTGTCTTGTAGAGAGGATGCATCAGCTCCAGTCTTTAAGCCATCCGTGCGTCCAGGCGTTGTTGCGGGCGCTGCGGTCTCTCATTGTTTTGGAAAAGGAGGCCTACAGCACGGCCGTGCAACTGTCAATTTCCATTACGCTGAGCTGCATGCTGCCGAATGCTGCTGTTATGGGCGAGTTGGCCGGTGAGGCACGGGCGCCATCAAGGGCGTTACTGTCTGCAGTCCGAGACATGAATTTGACGCCAGCGTTAACTCCACTCGCCTCTTCCCTGAAAGACTTGTTGGACAACCGTGTCAACATCAGCAGCGGTGTGGGGACGAAAGGCGTCAAGGACACCGTGAAGCCTTTTATACCCAAACTTCCACTTGCGGCTTTGCCCCTGCCGCAGTACTACACTTCCAACGGGGCGATGACTGTCGTGGAGGCTGGAGGGGTGCGACCGACGGTAGTTGTCAGTGAACCGACACCGCTGTTACCGCCGTTGGAAATTACCTCACCCTCGCAAAAGCTGCATTTGGGAGACGGCTTTTCTGTGATCACCAGCACTTCAAGGGGGCAAGGACGGATGACCGCACTGGACGATCCGGCATCGCTGGCGGAAGTGCTGCTCTTACTCTGCTGCTTGTTACCCGGACGCAGTAGTGGGATGATAAGCCAGTCCGGCCTTGTGGCTGCTCGCGAAATCGCAAAAAACCAAACGAAGCGGCCTCAATTGGACTCCGTTTGCTGGAATGTTCCTCTTGTACGCGTCCTTCGTAAGTTGGAGGAGTTCATGCGTTGCCCGGCGAACAAAACCTCCGTTCAGTTCTTTGATGAACTTGTCACAAGAGAGATGCAGACGAGCCCTGTGTGGATTGGGGTGGATGTGCTGCGGCGACTGCTGTTACCGCAGCCAAAATTACTTGAGGGGATAATCATAACACGACGAATCGGCGCAGGCAGTTATGGCTCAGTCTTTGCCGCAACACACTCTTGTTGTGATCCAGTCTCTTTGTGTCAGCACAAGTTGAACTTGGTGGATTCTGCACAGTCTCTTGCACTGAAGATGGTCTCTATCAACCGGCCCGAGATGGAGGATGAATGTTTTGCATTGGTGAGCTGCCACACAGAGGTGACCGCTCTACTTCACCTTCAATGGCATCCACACATCTGCGAACTTCTCTTCTTTGGTTGTACCGCTTCACACTATGTTCTTGCAATGCCGCTATATGAGGGCGGCTCACTTCGCGAATGGCGAGTGATGAGAAGTGGCTTTCCTGTCGGTGATAAAGTGAAGGAGGGTTGTTTTGGCGCCTCAAGGGGATTGGTCTCGGATTCCATGACACATTTGTCTGGAGGTGGCATCCTTTCGGTGTGTGGACCCATCTTTGCACAGATTCTCGAGACAGTTGAGTTCATGCATGCTCGTGGCATACGCCACAATGACCTCAAGGCAGACAACATTCTCATCGAGAGTTTCCGGGTGGCGTCGTCATCCCCTGTCACAGTGCCTAATGCGGAGGAGGAAAAGAAGGGCACGCGTGGGATCTACAGGGGAACCGATGAGCCGGAAATCTGTGTTCCCATTGCCATCCGAATTTGTGACTTTGGTGTAAGCGAGTTGGTTGGGGAGGAAATGGTTGCCGTGCGGAGCGCCAACAAATCCGCTGCTGATGGCAGGGCGTGTCGCAGGGCTCCCACGAGGGGGACGGAGGCGGTGCAGGCGCCGGAGAGACTCTTATTGTTGAGCGCCACATTTACTGACGGAAAATGCCATGATGAGGCCGCACCTTCGGCTGCCTCATCTGCCCTTCCCGCATCGTCTGGTTTAGGCCATGTGAAAAGAGAACTCGCAGCGGATATTTGGGCCTGCGGATGTTTGCTTTACGAACTTTTGACAGGCGTCATGCTATTTGGGGGAGCAAATCTTGGCCGACTGTTTTTTCTCGCGGCCGAATTGCAGGATGGCAGGCGCACTTTGCACGAGGTTCTGCAGCCGCATCAAAAACATGCTCTTGACACCGTGGGGCCTGGAGTCACAGAATTTTTGCTGCGGCTTCTGGCCGTGGACCCCGCGGAGCGACCCAGTGCTTCTGAGGCTCGACAGTTGTGGGAGCAGATCAGGAAAGCACAGGGCGGATGCCGCGTGAAATGCGACAAGAAGAGGTGAAACCTCCGAAATTGTGAGTGGCAACGTTATTATTGGCACTTGTCTTTTTTTTTTTTTTTTTTGTGCCGTATTGTTGTGGTGCGTGAGCGAGATAGAGAGAGAGAGTGTGTGTGTGTGTGCCACAGAACTTTTTTTTTTCTTCTTTCTTTTGGCTCGCCACTGCCAGTGCGAAGATACGTATCTATCTATATAGATATACATTTTGCGTGGTACCGCTTAGGGAGAGAGGAATTTTATTGTGGGAAAGCGAAAACAACAACAACAACACAAATAAAAGGGGGAAAAAAAAGTATAAAAAAACGGAGGTAAACAAAAAAACAAACAAACAAACAAACAAACAAACAAAAGACAACAACACGAAAAAAAAAAAAAAAAAGAAAAAGAAAAAAGAAAAGAGAAATGCCTGAGCCTCGCCAACTGAAAATTGTTTGCATTGGCGCCGGGTATGTCGGTGGCCCGACGATGGCAATTATCGCCAAGCAGTGCCCAGACTTCACTGTGTATGTGATGGACATCTCTGAGGAGAGGATCGCTGCGTGGAATGCCCCCATCTCTTCCCCAGGGGAAAATTCAGGACTGCCCATCTACGAGCCTGGGCTGGCCGAAATTGTGTACGAAGTACGCGACAAGAATCTTTTTTTTACCTGCGACAGGAACTGCATGAAGGGGGCTGATGTGATCTTTGTGGCGGTTAATACCCCAACGAAGGAGAATGGCGTCGGTGAGGGGTTTGCTGCGGATCTCACGTACGTCGAAAATTGTGCACGTCTCATTGGGGAGACCGTTGTCGAGGGTCATTACGTCGTGGTTGAGAAGTCCACAGTGCCGGTGCGTTGCAGCATTTCCATTCGCCGCATCCTCAGCGCCCACAGGAAGAGCGACAAGGTTTCCTTCTCCATCATCAGCAACCCGGAGTTTCTCGCGGAGGGGACGGCAGTCCGGGACCTTCTGGAACCCGACCGTGTACTCATCGGCGGCGATGACGAGGCGTCCATTGAACTGATCTCCTCCATCTACGAGCGATGGGTGGACAAGTCGCGTATTATTTGCACAAATTTGTGGTCCAGCGAACTTTCCAAACTCGTTGCGAACGCGTTTCTGGCTCAGCGCATCTCTTCTATCAACTCCATCACGCCGCTGTGTGAGATGACAGGGGCCGAAATTACGGAGGTGCGCCAGGCTGTCGGCGGCGATAGACGCATTGGAGATCTTTTTCTTAACCCATCGGTTGGTTTTGGTGGCTCATGCTTTCAGAAGGATATTCTTAACCTTGTGTATTTGTGCCAGTCACTCTCCCTCAACGAGACGGCGGAGTATTGGTCGCAGGTTGTAAAGATGAACAACTACCAGAAGGAACGATTTTACCACAAGATTGTCAAGAACTCTTTTGGCACCGTTCGAACAAAAACCATGGCCATCATGGGCTTTGCCTTCAAGAAGGACACCGGGGACACACGTGAAAGCGCTTCCATTTACATTTGTGCGCGACTGCTGGAGGAGGGCGCCATGCTGCGCATTTACGACCCCAAAATAAAGAGGGAGCGGGTGATAATGGAGCTCGAGAACTTCTTTAATACGGAACACCTGCTTAAAAGCTGCACGTACGATCGATTAAAGAGAGATGCGGTGACGCACAGTAGAGAAAGTGTTGAGAATATGTTGAAGAATGTAGTGGTTGTTGATTCTGCCCTGGAGGCGTCCATAAATGCAAGCGCAATTGTTATTTTGACGGAATGGAGCGAGTTTACGACGATGGACTACGCGAGGCTCTATGAGGTGATGAAGAAGCCTGCGATGGTCTTTGACGGCCGTCTTGTCGTCGATGAGAAGAAACTGATGTCAATTGGGTTTGAAGTGTACGCCATTGGCAAGCCGCAGGTATCCAGTCGCGACAGTTTCATTTGAATGAGTCCATTAAAAAAAAAAAAAAAAAAGAAAAACCAAAAACAAAAGAGGGCGGCAGTGATAGGACCTGTTATTTTTACTACTAGTATTAGTAGTGCGGAGGGGAATGAGGGGAGATATGCTCTTCTTCTTCTTCTTCCTCTTCCTCTTCCTCTTCCTCCTCCTCCTCCTCCCCGCTGCTTTTTTTTTTTTTTTTTTTTCTTCTTCTTTTTCCTATTATTACTTTACGAGAGTGACCCACTGACGTTTGTTTGCGGGATAACGTCGGCAATGTTTTCAGGTTTTTCCCTCATTTTTGGCTTTATTTATTTTATTTTATTTTTATTGACACTTGTGGCATCATGTGCTGCAGGGTTCCTTTGTTATTGTTATCGTTGTTTGGCTTTGGATTATTATTATTATTATTATTTTGTGTTTTTTTTCTCTCTCTCTGTTTTTGTCTGTCTGTCCGCCTGCTTGTATTCCTCATGCCCATCCATGGGTTTACTGGGATGACGTCTTCGTTAAATATTTCCTGAAAACAAAACAAAACAAAACAAAAAGAGAAGTGGGGATTGCGTGAAAAGGACGCACGGAAAAATGCACCGACACGTTTATTTGTGATCTTTTCCTTTTCTGTTACCGTTGTTGTTGTTGTTGTTGTTGTTATTGCTATTTTATTATTCCACCTGTATGCACACACGCCACCACACCCCCGGCTGGCGCCTGAGGCTACGCTATTCCCTCCCCCTTTATTTCTCTTTTTTGCGGTGCCTCTCTCTCTCTCCCTCTCTCTCTTTCTTTTTCTCTCTCTCGTTACAAGTGGTGGGATAACGTTGAGACTGGCTTCTTGTGGCGCGCCCCTTCATTGGGTTGGATGCCGCACGGCGGGTAGATCGCAATGGTGGAGGAGGACACCGCCGTGGCAAGGCCTGCCCTGTGGGAGGCAACACCAACGCCCATGGTGGAGTCCTTCCATGCCGCTATTTGGTACATCCTGCGGTACTGCGGGAACGTGATAGATGCCGCGGAGTTGCTCTCGTGGCGAACACTGTTGCAAATCCCCCTACGCGTGACAGCGGGCATGCGCACATCCATCAGAATGGGGGAAGAATTGGAGCTTTTCCTGAGGCTTGCCTTGCGAATACCCACTTGGATGCAGGTGCGACAGATAGAAGAGCAGTACGCTGAGCAAATACATGTTCGGTTGGCGTTGGATCGACTCAGCACAGTTTTTGTGGAAAAACAAAATGATGAGGAGGAAATAAGCCAGGATGACACGTTCCTGCGTATAATGGATGGAAAGGGGGTGGCTAAACTTCTCTTGACGAATAATAGTGAGGACGTAAAGGAGGTACTGCAAACGGCAAGGGTCAGGGAGCTCCGGCAATTGGCTCAGCTCCAGCGAGAGGATGTAAGACGTGGCAAGCGAAAAGAAGAAGGAGAGGTGGATACAAAAGTCTGTCATAATGATTATTGTGATGGTGACACGGTGAACATTAAGTCCGCGGAGGTGGGAACGGACGACTTCACCACAGGCAAGAGCCCTGCAGGTGTGAGGCGATCCCCCACAGGGTTGCCGTCGCGCAAGGAAGACCTCATTCACCACATTCTCGCCATGGATTGCTCTGAGACCTTGTTTGCTGCTACTTGGGACGCGGTTGTCGGGCCCATCTGCCGTGTCCATAAACGACTTAAGGAGAGCGTTTGTCGAGTTTGTGAGTTGCTCCATGTTCTCACATGCCATTGCGGCACCGGTGGCATATTTTCGGTGTTGGGCCGTTTTCATCCGACCCGTCCACTCTCCGCGGCACTTTGGCTTTTGGCGCCGAGGCTTCTATTGCGGCGAGACGTGCGTGTTGTTTGCATGCCGACGCCACCGTGGTGGCAGATAAATGGTGTTTCTGGCGAGGGCCCTTTTTCAGTTTTGGCACCGCTCTGTTTGTTCTCCTCCTCTGGCACCCTCACGAGTTATGTGGGGGCATTGCGACTGCATCAGAAGCTGATTGAGGCCACTGTTGCCAAGGGAGGGAGGGGCGGGGGTCTTGTTTTCGCAATGGCATCTCACAATGCCGTGGAAGATGCTCTCGTTTTGCTGCAACAACAACAGCCACTGGGACGGAAACGAGAGTATCCAGAGGCTAATAATTCCGGAGGTCCGAGTGACCCTGTGTCGTGTGGCAGGATGTGCTCCCAGGAAGCGGGTGCCATAAATAATGAGGGAGGGATCCTCACCGTCGAAGTCATGCTTCAGCGGGGTGGCTTGTTATACGAACATCTTCTTCCTTTTCTTCCAAAGTACGCCTGGTTCGCGTGTGCGGAGCTTCTGGTGCCTCTTCTGCAGTACAAAAAAAGGTACGACTTGGCCAACCAGTGGTTGCAAAGACTTCTGGAGGAGCCCGTGCACATTGTGAAATCGGCATGCGGGGCCGTCACTTTTCCATTCTACTACCGCCCCCAGAAGCGTGGGAAGTGGTGGCACCGAGTGGCCCAGAATCTCGCGCTCCTGGGAAACAAAAAGGCGGCGTTGGAGATTCTTGAGAAACAGCAGCGAGTCTGGCGGCAACACTCATTGACGACACATCATCGTGTCTGCGTAGAGTCATTCAAGAGCCTTCCCGTGACTTTACAGCGTCGCGTTCGTCTTCTCTCTGCCGTGTTTCCGTCGGTGAAGGGCACCAGCCGCGGAGCCCAGAATAGTGTGGCGTTATATAACGCTGTCAACGAGCACCACCGACTCCATTCCTGTCGTCGTTTTGATCGTATTGCCATTGAGAGGACGCTTGCATCTCTGCACTGCTCTCTGCTTCGCTGGACGCCTCTTCCCACTTCCCACACCTGTTTCACCAATCAACTCTTGGTAGCGAAGGAGTTGACCATATACGCCACCCGAGACGCAATGGAGCCAAATCTTTGGGGTGATCCATCTCACTCGATGGCGTCCTGTAGCGTCGAGAAACATGCCCTACGCTGGTTTGGCGCTGGGCCGAGCCAAAACACTGGCTGGCTTGGGCTGCACTGTGAAGGGCGCTGGCTTGCATGTTTGGCGCGTCTTCTTCTGTGGGATGCATATGTTTTTGTTCCAACTCGGGATGGATGTGAAGGGGTGGAGCTGGAGACGACGGCAGCTGGCGTGCCAGATTACATTTGGCTCTCCCCACTACAGGACCACCCCCTTGACCTCATCTCCTCCACGGCTTTCTGCCAGCGGCGTCGACGCATCATCGAGGAGCGGCTGGAGTTCTTTGAGGCGTGTTCCCGAGAGACGCTCATTGAATACGTGAAGCGACGCTGCCGATTGAAGGACACCCCGAATAGTAGCGACTCCAACCCCGTGCGAGATGGGCTGAGTGGCCGCGAAGAGTTGCAGTGTGAAAGTGTGAGCGAGGTGAGCCTGCTGAGCAGCGAAGATGGGGAATTGGTGTTGCTTGGGCAACCGAATCTGCGCCAAGACGAGAGGCAGGAAGATTTACTTCCCTCGTTTTTTTTCCATGACAACGCCTCCGTGTCACAGAAGGTAGATGTTGAGGAGTTGCATTTGCTGAGTCTCCTGCAGGCGATTCCGCAGGTCCCACTGTGCGCTCTTTTGCGCCGCATTTACCTCTCTCCGCCGGAGGAGGGCTACAGCATCTGCTTCTCTGGATTCCCCGACCTCGTCCTGTGGCGTGAGACACCACTCTCCCTCGTTGAGACGGAATTTAAACTTGTGGAGGTGAAGAGTCCAAATGATAGATTGAGTGATAAGCAGATGGCGGCAATTGATGCACTATGCCGGTGCGGATTTGATGTTACTGTGGCTCGCGTCGTGGAAAGTGACCAAACCGCAAAGAGAAAAGGCCCATCCAAGAATCATCGTCTCGTTCCTGACCGCGTGCAGGATGGAGTGTTACTGGATGCTGAGCACGTCCCTGAGTGAGAAGCGGACTCTGTGGGATTCCCCTGAATGAAGTGGAGTGGAGGGAGATATATATATATATATATATATATATTTTGACATTAATATGGATGCATAGCACCACGCGTTGAATCCCCCTTTGTATCTATTCTTCTTGCTGTGGTTTACGGTGATGTTGCTTCTCAGTCTTTTTTCTCTGCTTCATGTGGGGGGGGGGGGTAGGGAGGGGAAGGATTGCCGCACGTTTCTAAACTCATTAATCATGATGTTGTTTGTCGCTTTATCACGCAAAAGCCATTCATGAGGAAGAAGCGGTGGTGAAAATGAGCAAAAATGAAAGAAAAAACGGTGGGTAGGACGCTGCGTTGTTATCGTTGCTTACCAACCGCTTGATTGGGGTGCACATGGAATTATATATTCCGTTCTTTCCTCCACACTCTTACACCGATTCATTTCTTGCTCCTCCCTGTGATATGTTTTGGGGAGGAAGGGCCAGGACACTCTCCGGGCTTATAGTACTTTTCTTTGGCTTTTCGTCTGCTGCCGCCGCCGTTTATTTACTTATTTTTTACTTATTTTCTTTTTTTGCGGTTTCAAAGCGACGAAGGCCATCGCCGACAGAAGTACCTTCAATTAAATCATGAGTATGAACGCTGCGGTTTGTGGGAGGACGTTTAACGACGTGGTGCGTCTAATCGAGAGCTGGGCAATAGGAAAGGTGGCCTCCTCTTGCAACAACCTTGAGACCACAAGGCTTTTTATAGACCGTCTCAATATGCAGGGTTATCTTGACAAGCTTCGTTTTGTCCATGTGGCGGGAACAAAGGGAAAGGGGACAACCGCGGCGTACACCGCGGCGCTCCTGCAGGCGTATGGGCTTAGGGTTGGCCTTTTCACCTCCCCACACCTTGTGGATGTCCGGGAGCGCATTTTGGTGAATAATGCCTTTTTGCCCAAGGATGTATTCGCGAGGCAATTTTTCAAATTGGTTGACCGCATTGCGGATCTTTCAAACTCGGAGAGCCAAATTTCCCGCGATCTCTCGAAACGCACAAGCTTCTTTCGTTTCCTGTTTTTACTCTCGCTGTACATCTTCGCTGAGGAGTTGGTGGATGTGGTGGTTGTGGAGGTGGGCGTGGGGGGCCGCATCGACGCCACAAATATCATTTCGCCCGAGGTGACTGTCATAACTTCACTGGGTCTCGATCACACAGAAGTTTTGGGAAACACCATAGAGGAAATTGCCCTTGAAAAGGCCGGTATTATGAAGCCCGGTGTTATTTGCTACACCTCACCGCAGGAGTGGCACCCGTCCACGCTGACTGTGATGGAGAAACATGCTCGTGGCCAGCAGACTCCCTTTGTGGTTGTGGACGAGAAGACGCTGCCCATATTCAATTGGCCTCCCCTGGCTATTGGGGGAAACCACGTCATTGAGGACTCCAAACTGGCGCTGCTGGCGGCCAGGTATATGGCAGGAATTCCCCCTACCCTGCCTCTGAGTGGCGCTGAACGTCAAGTGTTGCAGACGATGACTCTTCCAGGCCGTTCGCAGGTGCTGTCGATCCACGGCGGAACGGGCGCAACGCTTTACCTTGACTGCGCCCACACGTATGAGAGTTTGACGTGTGCCACCCGCTGGTTTATGGAGGAAAGCCGTTCCTTAACTGGAGATGCGAATCCACGTCGCGTGCTTGTTTTTTACTCCACTCGGGATGCGACGCATGTCCTTAAGTCGTTTATGCCTTTTATTCACTGTTTTTCCAAGATGATTGCCGCATTTGTGGTGAATCCACGGAAGGCGACTGGAAACACGGCGGATGGAAGGTACGATTATGCGCGAGGCGAAGTAGCAGCCGTGACGAGTTGCTGGAAAGAGATGTATCGTGAGGTTCCATGTATTCCCTGTAAAGCCCCGTTTTCCTCGCTGGAAGAACTGATTGATGTGGCCGTTCCCGCTGCAACCGAACGCGAGGATGCCTTGAAACCGGTGCAGGTCTTTGTTACCGGGTCCTTCTTTTTGCTTTCAGACATCATGGGGCTGCTCCAGGCCCACGAATCCAAATTTCAAACCAAATTGAAGGAAGATAGTAAGGAGGACTAGCCTGCATACATGAATGCGTGCTTAAATGGTCCTATTTATTCCCAGGAGTACATATTTGGGCAGAAGCTTTTTTCTGCGTTTGTTTGCCGAACAGCGGACATTTTTTTCTTCCTGTGCGCGTATTTTGAGTGCCTTCTTTATTATTATTATTTGTAACGGTAATAATAATAATTAATAATTAATAATTATTAATGTTTTTTTTCTTTTTTCTTTTTTCATTCTTCTTCCTTGGGGAGAGCGGATTGGAAAATGAGGCCCTATTTTCTGCTTGACGCGTCACCAAGTGCGGTTTCCTCATGTGAGAGGACGGCAGCTGTTATTGGAAAATATATTGTGGAGGGCGAAACTCTTTTGAAGGCGGTTTATTGCTCCAAGTACTACGGAGTCGCGCTGTTTCGTAGTGGCCGTCTCGTGCTGCTGGCACCGGACTCTCCGGAACGGCATGGGACCGTTATCGAGGGTGGGGATGGACATGTTCGAGATGTCGCCGCAGGTGATACCCACATTGTATTTTGTAAAGAGGACGGTACCGTGTATTCTTTTGGCTACAGTAACAAGCATGGACAATTGGGCGATGGCACTGTGTGGAGGAATTTGCCTTTTGAACAGGAAACACATGCGACAGATGGATCTGATGCTGGTGAGAAACGGGAGCTGCCAAGACTTTCCTCCCCGCAGATGATTATTGGCTTTGGTGGTGGAATGGATGGAGTCGAAGGACACGTCTTAAACGGAAAGCTGCTCCAGGTACCTGTAGTTGCGGTTGCATGTGGTGCTTTTCACACTTTGCTACTTACGAGTCTGCGGAACTGCGTTTACGCCTGTGGTCTTGGTGTGTCGGGGCAACTGGGAGGAAGGCGGCGTCCGGTGCTCCAACCCACATTTAAGTCTATTCGTCTCTTGTTTGGATTGACCATCCGCCAAATTGCCGCCGCGGGAAATCATTCCTTTGTCCTACTGCAAACAGGGAAATTGTTCGCCTTTGGAGAAAACCTCTGTGGGCAGCTTGGGTTCGGCTCAGTGAAGGCTGTCCACACACCCAGGGCTGTGGCGTTCAGTGGCGCCGTTCCTTCTGTGGAAATGCGGCGCCCTTTAGACTCTTCTGTTTTCAAAAGCCTGCGGGCGGCTTGGGGATCCGCGGAGAGCATGTACTTCCCGCTACGTGTCGAGCGCTTGAGTCCAGAGCGGGACCCCAATGAGCCTTTTATTGTGTCCGTTTGGTGCTGTCCCACGAGAACTGTGCTGCTTACAAGGACGATGGAGTGGCTGTCCTGTGGCCTTGCAATTTCTCGGGGCCCATGTGAAATCAAAGCGCCTACCATGAGAATGGATCGATATGGCCCGCTGGGACGTTGGATAGAGCGCAAAGAAGAGGCCACGTCGTTTCGGAAGATGCAGTGGTCTGAGAGCGTGGCAGCGGCACTGAAGGGTGTGGTTCCTCCCATCCCTCTGGAAGAATCGCTCATGGATGAGGTCCTTTGCGCACTTCACGTGAAGTGCTCCAATAATGCCGTGGTGTTGCTCATTCGGAGCTCCGGTGAATCGCAGCCGTCCCATTTGTTTGTGCAAGGTGAGACGCCAGGTGTGTTTTTGGTGGACGAGGATGGACGAACCCCATTGAGCCCGGCTCCTCGCGCAGACAAACTCCTTCACGATCACGAAGTGGACGACGATGCTGCGGAGTTCTTCCTTACAGAAGCGCAGGGCATCTTTGCATCCGAGGCGTTTATGGCCATTATGTAAATTCTGAACGATGAAGAAGGAAGGAGGAAACAACCCTCAACAAGAGGAAGGATATCGGGGGTGAGAATGTGTGGGGTGCAATTCGTATTCATGTAGAGACTGTTTCTCGTGCCTGCGTCAGCGGCAGGCGTCCATATGAGGGAAACAACCGGGTGAAGATTTGCATGTTCCTTGAGTCGCCCTGCTCTTTATTTTGCTTTATTTTTACCGGGAGCTTGCGAAGGGAATTCTCTGGCCTCGCGGGGGCCGGGTGAACAACAAACATGATGTTTTCATCCCTTTTTTTTTTTATTATTGTTATTTAATGCTTTATTCTTGCTGAGATTGTCGCGAAGGGTGAGTTTCAAAGGACAAGCTTTGCAGGAAAAGAGTTTGCTAGATGCCGTTCGCGGTGCCGCCATGACTTTCTGACGTGAACGGCTTTCCGCGCGAATCGCGGGGATTTGTCCGGAGGATCGCGGTCGCACCATTTTACGGCGCATTGGAATGCATAATGTGTGCAACGCCTGGTCACAGCTCCTGGATGCGTCTTGGGCCGCCTTTGCGACGCCGGCCGCGCCAGGCCCCGGCATGCAGACAGTTGTGAGGAGAACGGTGCGTCCTGGGCGTGCGCCATTCGCGGGGAGATGCTTACGGAATCGTGCCGGTTGTCAGGGCGACTGCGCACACTCGGTCACATGGATCCTCCGGACAGCGAATAACGATGCTGGAGTGCGGGTCGAGGACATTCAGCATGCGATCGAGGCGCCCCCCAGAAATGGGACCGCCCATTCCACCAGGCGGTTCAGAGAGCAAAGAAATAGCATGCCGCACCCCCGCCCAATGAAGCCGAAAAAGAAAAACCTATAAAAACGCAAAAAGAAAAAGCGGAGAAAAAACAACGCTCCATGGGTTTCGAACTCACTTTTTTTTACCGAACAGAAAGAAAAACTGTCATTCAAACGAAGAAGCAATCCGAGAAGTCGCGTCACGGATCACTTTTCCCATTAACGTTAGATGTAAAATTTTTTTTCTCATCCTCGTAACGAGAATCCTGCATGTAAATTGTTTTTGTACTTCCAAGCCTTGCGCAGGGAGTTGTGAACGCAAGATCCTCAGGTGATTGTTCACGAGTGCAATACTAAATCCAGTTCTCCTTCGGGGAATATTTGACACCTACCGCGGGTAGGATAAAGTTTTTCAGGAGCTTGTGAGAAGGATGATCCACAGAATTCTATATATTGAATGAAAAGAAAACATTCAAGCAATTAAATAAAGAACCTTTTTTCCTAACTTGCTTGGTTTATATAGATAATTTCAGGATCCGGCCAGCTGCCCGGAAGATTATTCTTTTCTGAATGCGGCGCGGAAAAAAAGAGGCCACTGGGGGGATCGAACCCCCGACCTCCGTCTTACTAGGACGGCGCTCTGCCATTGAGCTAAGCGGCCACGCGAAATCGATAAAGGCAAAAACGATCCTTTAACATAATTCCGTTTCTGAATTTTAAAACAGTGACCGTCACGGAAATGATTCTGGATGTAGAAGCGCAGTTGGTCTAGTGGTAGAATTCTCGCCTGCCACGCGGGAGGCCCGGGTTCGATTCCCGGACTGCGCAGACTTTTTTTTGCCTCTCCCAAAAAGGCGCTCCGCATTCAAGTGTGTGTTCCTGTTTCTTTTTTTTACTATTCTTCTTTTTGGAAACCGGCAGGTTGGCGACTCCCCTTTTTGTTGTGCGTCTCGTTTTTTTTTGTTGGGAAAAAATGGCCGCGGGCCTTTTAGGGAAGGGGGCGCGGAAGCTGAGATCTTTACGGCGGACGCGTGCTCCATACTTTGTGGGGCGTCTCCCGGAGGGAGACGAAAAGAATTCCGGGGAATCGCACTACAAAAAAGTTCTTCGCGCCATCCTCCTCTTAGTTTTCTTGTATGAATTTATTTGTTTATTTTTTTTCAAATATTGTTACATTGAAGGAAAAAAGGAGACGTTTTACAGATTTTTTTTGAACAACATTCTCAATAATAAAAAAAGGGAAAAAAAAATTAATTGATATAAATTTGTTAATTGTATGACACTTTGAAAGTCTTTCTTAATCATATGATGCATATGGAAATTATGTCCATTTACCATAATACAGAATAATTAAAAAGGAAAAAAAAAGAAGAAAATAAATTGTACCCAATTTTATTATCTATTTATCCTTGAATTTATTATTATTATTTTAATTTTTTATGTTATTATTATTATTATTATTATTATTATTATTATTATTATTATTTTTACTATTACTCATATTATTTTATATTATTGTTGTTTATATTATTATTATTAATTTATTATTATGTCATTATTATTACTATCATTATTACTTTCAATAATAATAATAATATTATTATTATTATTATTCCCTGTGTTTTCTTTTGTTTTGAATGAAAATTTATTTTATTATTTTTTTTTTTTGTTCTTCTTTTAATTTATTTATTATATGTTCTTCTTTCTTTCATTTTTTTTTTTTCAATTTATGAATTCTCACTGCGATATCGAATTTAAGAATAGCGCAATGCGTGGAGGATTCGGTCGTGGAGGGTTTCGCGGTGGTGGAAGAGGCGGTGGTTCCTCTGCACGAGGTCGTGGCGGTGCGTCACGAGGCGCTGGAAGGGGTGGTCCTGGCCGTGGAGGGCGGGGAGGCCGCGGTGGAGGTGCTGGTGCCAAGGTTGTTGTGGAACCTCACATGCTTCACCCTGGAGTATTTATTTCCAAAGGAAAGGCCGATTCGCTTTGTACTCTGAACATGGTTCCTGGAGTTTCAGTTTACGGAGAAAAAAGGATTGAACTAGGGGCAACGCAAGGTGGTGATGAGAAGAAAGAATATCGTCTTTGGAATCCATATCGTTCAAAGCTTGCCGCTGCCATTTATGCTGGTGTTGGGAGTATTCATATGAAACCAGGATCGAAAGTTCTTTATTTGGGAGGTGCAAGCGGTACAACTGTGAGTCATGTGAGTGACTTGGTTGGACCCGAAGGTATGGTTTATGCGATAGAGTTTTCGAATCGCAGTGGTCGCGATCTTGTTGATATGTCGAAAAGACGGCCCAACATTGTTCCCATTATTGAAGACGCTCGTTATCCCATGAAGTATCGAATGCTTGTGCCTATGGTTGATTGCGTATTTATGGATGTTGCCCAACCAGATCAAGCACGTATTCTTGCTCTTAATGCACAGGCATTTTTGAAGAACGGAGGCCATTATGTAATTTCAATCAAGGCAAACTGTATTGATTCAACCTTGGAGGCTCCTGTTGTGATTGCATCCGAATTGAATAAATTAAGAAAGGACCGTTTAAAGCCTTTAGAACAAGCCTCACTTGAGCCATTTGAAAGGGATCACGCCGTCGTGGTTGGGGTATATCGGTCCGTTAAGAAGAAGACTGAATGATAACCGGTTTAAACCAAAAAATACCCGTATACACAATGAAAAGAGCCATATACTGAAGAACGGGACGAACGTAAGCACTTTTGCTTTTTTTTTTTTTTAAAGAAGAGAAAAAAGGAGAGAAGATATAATATAAAATGAAGACATGAACAGACACAAGAGAAAAGAAATCAAAATGATTTGGCATAAATTACGTGTTAAAAAAAAAGGTGAGCATTGCCTTAATGTGATGGGCTTAAAACTTTTGGTTTAAACCTTGAATTTTTGCTTTTATGTTCCGAACTTTTTCTCTTTGTTTACTTTTGCTTTATAAAGCGTTTTTTTTATTATTTTCCACAAAGTTTTAGTGATACTAAATTAGTAAAAGTGATATATATATATATATTTGATTATTGTTTGACGAAGGAATTTTCAGAGTAAATGACACTCAGCTCTATAAGACAAACCACAAATATGATTGAGGATGAAAAATGGGAAATTATTAGAGAGACAGTTCTCTCTATTCTCAACAAGGTGATGTCTCAATATTCATTTCAGCAGGTACATCATTCCGTATTTCAAATGTGTCAACAACAAGGTAGTGGAATACTCTTTGACCATCTTGAGGCGATTCTTGCAACGCATGTAAACTCTATCCGTGACCGGTTGCTCAGTGTAACAAGTGAAAATTTTTTTAAAAGCCTTAAAACCGAATGGGATGATTTTAGTTCCGCAGTGAATTTTATTAGCAAGACCTTATTATACCTTAACAACAATTATACATGCCACAGACAATCAATTTCACAGATGGGGGAAAGTATTTTTTGTGAAGTCGTGCTGAGAAATACCCAGATATCTGAAATGTTTTCCATTTGTGTTCGAAGAAGTTTCACTTCTGATCAAACTTCTAAAAATGTTCTAAAGGAATTGGCCTCGAGACTTTCTCAATCATATCGACATAATATTTTCGAACCTTACATAGAGGATCCCTTCATTTCTGCTTTGGCAGATCAGTACCGACAGGAAATGGGAATAAAACTAAATGAGTTGGGCACAAAAAATTATCTTGAGTGGGTGGTTGGCGTAATTGAAGAATCGAAAACAAATGTCTCTAATATTCTTGGTGAAAGCACAGCCCAGCGTGTTGAAAAGATTCTGGGAATATTGCTGATAAAAGAAAACACAACGAAGCTTCTTTACAATGAAGCTGGGGGCGGCTCTTCTATGTTCAGAGGAATGGAGACTCAATCGCTTCATCTTTTGGCCGAGGCTCTAGGAAAAGTAAATGAATCGGAGGCATTTTTGGATATGATCGTTGGGACAGCGAAAAAAATGGGATCCGAATTATTAGCCGATGTGGATAACGCCTCTCCTGTATCGGCAGTGGAAAAAATATTAAATTTAAGGGACCGGATAAAAAATTTGATTTCAAATTTGCCCTTTATTTCGAATTCTAATCAATCACCGGTATCCCAAGCGATTACTGAAATAGTCAAAGACAGTGCTGTATTTGCTGAAAAACTTGCTTATTATTACGATGCAAAAGTAAAATCTAAAATTTCTGAGGCTGAACTAGAGCGGCTTGTTGCAGATGTATTTGGTCTATTTCGTCTTTTAAGAACGAAAGAGGTTTTTGATCATGCGTTTAAATTATTGCTTGCAGCAAGGCTGATCAATTCCAAACCGGAGGATCCTCTTTCAAATGAAACATTTCTAATTGATCAAATTCGAAATGAATGTGGAGAATCTGCTAATCATTTGGAAATTATGATTAAAGACGGAAGAATGCGAAGGGAAATGAATAAAGGATTTATTCGTTCTCTTGGGACGGGGAATAAATTGCCACATGAATTTTATGTTACTGTTATAACAGCTGGCGTTTGGCCGGAATACACAGACCTGGCACCTGATCTTCCAGAGAGTATGCAAAACTGTATGCAGCTTTTTCGTTCCTACTACCTGCCCCATCATAATGGCAGAAAACTTTCCTTTAATACAACTCTGGGTACGGTGTTTTTCACATTGAACCATGGTAAAATATATGAACTTGTTGCACCAACTGCCTTTGCGAGTACAATTCTTTGTTTTCAAAACAGTGATCAAAACAATGAGTATTTATCATTGCAAGAAATATGTGATAAGACGAAATTGATTGAAAGGGATGCTTCATTTCAATTGGAATCTCTTTCTCAATTGGGATTGATAACTGTTGACCGTGTCGATGATGTTTTACGATATGCCTTTAATCAAGCCTTTGATAATCCCAGAAGTAAGCTTCGTGTACGAGCTACAAGTGGAAACAGAATCCTGGAGAAGAATAGGGAGACGCGAGCGCATTGTGAGCCTTTGGGAGCCTCAATTTCATTCAGTATTCAGGCGGCCGCAATTCAAATAATCAAGAGCAAAAAAAAGATTGGACACACTGAATTCTGTAATGCTATCACAAAATCCCTTCAAAAAGCAGGATTTGCACCGTCAGTGGCTGATATTAAAAAGGGTCTGGAAACCCTAATGAGCAAAGGATTGTTATCACGAAAAAATTCAAATATATATATATATGAGAGCTAATATGCGTTATTTTTTTGAATATTTAGCGATATCTATTGCGTGTTTTTTTTTACTTTATTATTATTATTATTATTATTATTATTTTTTACTTTTTCTTTTTGCCTTTCTATATTTTTATTTTTATTTTTATTTTTATTTTTATTTTTATTTTTATTTTTGCTTATAATTTCCTTTTCCAGAAATAAGCAGAATATTTTTAATTGTTGCTATTTCTTTTTTTCTTTTTTTTTTCTCTTTTTTTTTTTACTTTTTTTTTTTTACTTTTTCTATTATTCTCCTAATACAGAACGGGACACGCATGGCTCGAAAACCATTATTTGAGGTCATTTGGCAATCCATGACGGCTTCAAATGCATGGTTGGTTTTTGCGGCAGCTGTTGGTGCCGTTTCTTTTTACGTGTTTTTGCTGAAAAGTGCACCAAGGGGTAATGGACGAGTGACGCCATCCATTTCCAATTCAAAGGATGGTAAGCCATCTCTTCTTAATAGGATGCGGCAGCAGCAGTTTAAGGGGCACCGTGTATGCATTGCCTGGGAGGTTCTCGCTGAACAAGGTCAATGGCGAGATCACGCCAAGGAGGCCCTGGTGGTGTTTGCTGTTGATATGGAAGTATATCTGATGTGCAGAGTTAATTGCAAACAAGAGAAAAATGAGGTCCTCGAAATGTTAACGGGGATAAGCGGTCTTGTTCGACACCGGATCCTTTTTTGTGAGACAGCAAAGGGGTATGAGTCATTCTGTCGACAGATAAAACCTGCCCTTGTAGTGATACAAAATGAGGTACAAGCTTCATTCTTGAGCACAGTTCTTCCAAATGTCGTTCTTGTGGGTGCAAATGTTCCAGGAAGCACCGTCACTTGCATCTCTTCCATTTATGATTTATTACTTCAATACGCCGCATGACACTCCCCTAGTGGTTATGAAGTAATTAAGAGGTGGGAAGAAAACAACTGCAAAAAAAAAAAAAAAAAAAAAGAGGGCGGCAGCAATATGAAAAAAAAAAGGAAAAAATGCAAATGTTCTGAGTTTTTTTCCTACACTCTTTTTTTCCCTCGCAACTCCAATTAGATGATGCGGTTTGAAATGATGTGTTTATCTGTGACTTCTTATTTCTTATGGCCTTTCTCTTTCTAACAGTGAATTACCGCAATATTATTCTAGAATAATGCCGGATGAGCGCATTCTTTTAGTCACTGGAATTCCCTCGAAGCTGTGTCGGGGGGAGGAGCTCTACAAGGTCTTTGGAAGCTATGGTGCAATCCAACAACTGCGCCTGGGAGATGATGCCTCCACCAAAGGTTGTGCCATTGTTGTGTACGAGCTTTGCGAGGCGGCCTCTGCCGCCCTTGAGGCATTGAATGATTTTAGGGTGGATAAAGATAGATACCTTAGGGTATCCGTGTACGACGAGGTACGGGACCGCAAGGCGCTGGAGAGAAGAAAACGGCGACGGGAAATGAAAGCCGAATATAAACAAAATATAGCGAGTGAATTTGGAGTCACTGAGGAGAAGAGCTAAACCAGGCCTTGATTTGCTTTGAAGAAGTCTTATAACTGAACTGGGTGCCGTGAGAGAATTCGGACCATGTTGGCATTAGTGGTGATTGCAGGATTTACTAGAAGATTTTTTTTTCCTTTTTTTTTTCTTTTTTTACTTGCTTTCTTATAGTACAATGATTGGCGTTCTCATGTTTTTGAATTCAAGAGGGGACGTTGCTCTTTCCCGCACGTTTCGCGATGGTTTCAGCGTGCGAGGCCTTGCCGAGAGCTTTCGTAACCGGCTCATCTCAACCAGCGAGGTAGAGCGTAGTCCCATCAATATTCTGGATGACCTTTGCTATGTGCACGTGCGATACCGAGATGTGTACGTGGTCCTCGTGTCTGACGGAAACACCAATTGCTTTGCCTGTTTCCAGTACTTGTTGCAGCTTTTGGGGGTCTGTCAAGCATACTTGGACACCATCAGCGAGGAGACGCTTAAGGACAATTTTGTTGCATTACAGCAAATTATTGACGAAACGATGGACTTTGGGTATCCACAGACGATGGAGGCGGAGTTATTGAAAACATTTATTGGCGTCAAGGGTATCAACATTGCACTGATGAAGAAGCCGGAGCAATCGGAGCGTGTGACAGCGCGACTGACGGGGAAAATGCCGTGGAGAAAAAGGGACCTCTTTTACCGCGTGAATGAAATATTTATTGACGTCTCTGAGGAACTATATGTGTTGGTCTCCCAGAGGGGCCAGGTGTTGGAGAGTAATGTTGTTGGAAGCGTCATGGTAAAAAACTTTTTATCGGGCATGCCCGAGTGTCAGATTGAGCTCAACGACGATTTTAATCTGAACGACGCCTCTTATCATCCGTGTGTTTCTTTGCAAGCGGATCGGACTATTTCCTTTGTACCGTTGGACGGCAAGTTTTTGCTGATGCGGTACCGCGCCGCCTTAGCTTCTTCGCCTCCGCTGAAGGTGCTGCACACACACGTCAGGGAGGTATCGAAAACACGCACAGAAATTGACTTTGGGCTGAAGTGTGATATAAAGGAGGGGATGCGGTGTGACGATGTGGAAATACGCATTCCGTGCCCTGAAAACACGGCAGACGTAAAATTGAGTGTTGCACGGGGTAGAGTACAGTTTGACGGCGTTCAACATGCCGTTATTTGGAAATTGCCGAGTGTCTCTCAAAATGACGAGGAACTGTTGCTTACTGCCGAGATTGTCTTGCTCGCCCCGACCATCGCCACTTCAGAGCAGGTGTGGTCGCGTCCCCCCATCAAGATTAGTTTCACAACTCCCTCCCATGTACTCAGTGGATTTAGGGTGAAGGAGCTGCGGGTAGAGGAGCCGTTGCTCCGCTACTCAGCTTCCAAGTGGGTTCGCTATTTGACAACAACAGGCCAATACGAGTGGCGGCTGTAATTCTGAAAAGGGTCTTTTCTTTCTTTTTTGTCCTTTCCTCTCCCATACTCTTGCTTTGTGTTGGTGGAAAAACAAGGTGTGATGAGGAATTTACCCTTTTTTTTTTCTATGTCTGTGTTACCAACGTTTTCAGCAGTCTAGCACCTAAAGTGGATTCAGTTCATTTTATTATCTGCCGTGCAAACTGCTGTTGAATTATATATATATATATATATATATATAATTTGCTTTCAATTTTGACTTCTGTAGTTGCAGCGGGGGTGATTGGGGAGGGGGAATCCATGTCCGAGAAGAAGGAATACATCAGCCCTGCGGGGTTACGGCTTGATGGCCGTCGGCCGCAGGAGTCCAGGCGAATGACTTTAGAGTTTGGCAAGGTGCTGGGATGCGATGGCTGCTGTACGGTGATGAGTGGCTTGGCTACCGTGTGCGCCTCCGTGTACGGCCCCCGCGAGGTCACGAATAGGTTGGAAAGCAAATACAATGAGTGCATTATTACATGTGAAGTTGCCATTGCCGCCTTTGCCGGGGAAAAGAGACGTGCGCCTCAGAGAAGATCTAAGTTGTCAGAAGAAATGAGTGCAGCTGTGCTGGAAGTGGCCCGCTCTGTAGTTTTACTGTCGCAGTACCCAAACTCGCAGATCCACATCTGTGTTGAGGTATTGCGACAAGATGGGAGCGACAAGGCTGCCTGCATCAATGCAGCCTGTTTGGCTCTTGTCGACGCGTCCGTGGCTATGCGGGACATTGTGTACGCACAAACGGTGGGTCTGATCAACGCCGTGGATGTGGTTGACCTCACGACCGAAGAGATGCGCTCCCAGTGCCCAACGATTTGCATCGCGGTGAAGGGGCACGATCCCTCT